GATCAAAACGACAGCTTTGCGCTAAAGAGGGACATGATCGTCCGCCAAATTATCATCGGTTCTGTGGTGTTCAAATCATGGAGACTATTCAATCTCTAACATTTTAACTGCCACGTTAATGCAACCAAAATCCCTCCCCCAAGACTCGATAATCTTAGGATGGTCTGAAAAATTTGCAGAAGATTCCATCTTTTTCCCTTTTGGATTGGTGTGCACTGGAGGTAACGTTATGATGATATGTAATGAAATGCTAAAAAGTATGTGAAATCACATCTAGGAGGTGTCAATCACGCGCTCACGGAGGACGTTCATTTGTGCAAGGTACAAGTGAGCGAGTGGGTACACGACTAAACATCTATTTGCAACGCTGCTTAAAGGGATGCGAGATAACAACCAAACACACCACTTTCACCACCCCGAGCAGGCCAAACGCAAGAGGCAAACATCCTGTGTGCATGTGTGTGCGGGTGTTTCTGAGTGACAGCTTCTATCAATTTGTGTTTACAAAGAGAACCGAACACAAGTGCACTACTGTGTATCGCAGAGAGCGGCGGCGCGTTGGGCCAACTTCTCCCTCTTTCTCGCATTTAAATCAAGCTAGAGAAAAGAGGTTTCAACTTAACAAAACGACAACAGCCCATTCCCTTAAACACACGACTAATTGCCTCCCTTCGATGGACATAAAAGAGCAACAGCTGACACCAATGGCAAAGATCACAAATAAATGAGCCGCGTTTGTATGCGCCTGCGATTTCAATCACAATCTTGTTAAAAAGTGCCACAAAGTATTTCTAGCGGTCCAATCGTGTAAAACTACAGCAGAAAGAAAGCAAAATATGTGTTGCTGTTTGGTTACGTGGCAAATCCGTCTGAGACGGTGGGATGTTCAGCACCACAAAATTCGAGTTATTATGTACAGACGGTGAGCTCAGTGTCCAGACAAAGTATGTCAAAAAGTAGATCTACAAACAGCTCATTTTAAGTGTTGCAAACACCATTGCTCTCCGGCATGCACGCACGCACGCACGCACACACACACACACGCACGCACGCACACATAACGCAAAATTATGAGTGGGAAGAGAGCTGGCACGATGGGGACACATTGTGTACCCGAATTATTCTAAGTGGGTTATTTTCGAGGCTCAAAAAAAAAATTGATTGATACTGGGTCTGGATGCGGAACCTTTTAGGAGAGAAGAGGAGAGGTAAACAAACGCCACTGAGACCGCTTTGTGTCCAGTGGGTGAGCGAGGGAAAGCGTGCAGGTGCGTCCGTGTGAGTGAGACGAACGCCATCCTCTCTCCCTCCCTCTCACTCAGCATCAGAAAAAAAAAGCAAAAGCACGGACAGCCAGCCGCTGAGCTTCGCCCTCCTACCGCTCATGCACGCACACGCCCGTGCACAGGGGTAAACACGAGGGAGAGGGGGGACCAGGCGGAGGAACGGGGATGAGGGATGATAGGGTGAAGAGGAGGGTGGGGAGATAGGCAGGTCGGCGTGGGTAACGCCGAGGGGAAGAAGGAAGACGTAAGGATGGATACACAACACAAACAGACGAACTTACGCGATGCTCCGTGTTCGATGAAATTGAAGTCGAAGGGAGTCTGCGTAAAAAAAGCAAACAAAGAAGGCAAAAGTTAGGGGCATAGTGAACTGTGGGTGCCACAGAGATTCTTCAAGGCACACAAAAACCAGTGATTAATAGCTGTCTGATTGAGATACTCCCAACTGTAGCCGTGGGATGGTGTGTAAAGCGCTAAGTGTGGCAGTGAATGGCCCTGCGTCCTCTCGTCCCCCCTCTTCCCTCTTCTAATCAGCTGATTGAGACAGATGACTTTAATCGATTGACAGGACAATCAATGGGCCTTATTGGTGCGCCTACCTCAGTGAGCTTCAAACACCAAAATTGGCACATTTGACACGCAAATAACTTTTCCGTGTTTAAACGTGGAATAAGGAGGGAAGTAGAAATAAGCGTTCCCAAAAACTCGATGTAACAATTACCAATTAACATGGCTACAAAGGTCAGTGTAATGAGAATTAACTCATGCTACAGGAGATTACAAGGAGCACAAACCGATGTGTCTAAAAGTTCAATTTATGGACACAATTTGACATACGTGTGGAGTGTGAAGCTGCAAGAGAAAGTTACTTTAAATGTGGTAAGTAATGAAAATGACTGCTCCCTGGTGGCAAAAGTACCACCTTGGCGCACACACCAAAGTTGACGTACACCCACGACTGACTGCGAAAGCAGAAGAGGCTAATTTTAATGATTCCAAACTACAAAATTTTATTTCTTTCCTCAAACCACCGTAGTGTGAGTTAATGCTTACGCCAAGGAGATATGCCACGATGCATTTACACTGATGCCACACGGTCTCAGGGAAGAAAAGTCGCAGTTTGCTTGACTTAAATTGAAAATTTTGCAGTAGTTATTAAGATGCGTGTTTTGGGCTCCCGTTGGCATAAACTGCGTTTTTTTCCTCCTTCGCCAGTAATTTCGATCACAAACAATGAGGCGGTGTGTCAGGAGTTTTGGGACTCTCAATCAAATTACAATGGCAACAGTCAGCAGAGGGAACCAAACATCGTAACTAGACAGGCCGAAGTGAGGGCATCCAATGAGACGTCATTTGTCAAATATGTTGATAACTGGAAAAGGATGCAAGAGGAGGAGGCGGCAGAGGAGGAGGAGGAGGAGGATGGGATGGGATGGGTCAGACTTCAAAAAAAGTGTCTTTCGAAAAGGCAGACTAAACAAAGTGCCCACTGCCACACAAGAAGTTTCTCTGAAGTAGACAAAAATCGCCTCCTTTGTTAGAATGGACGAAATTTTATGCTGTACTTTTGACTTCGATTAGCTGTTATAACAGTCGCAGGGAGTTTGACGTATTCGTTGAGTGGAAAAAACTGCTTACAAATGTTTCAGGCTTTCAATAGATACAAAAAAGTTAATGTCATTAAGGTTTGTGTTGAAAAAAAAAGAGGACAGCATAGTTTGGAAGGCATTATTTAAGTTTTATGGCTGATTGAAACTGACTGCCAGACTCAAGTGTAGTGCCATTGTTTCGTGCAGTGATTCAGTGTATGCCAACACAGTATTTAAACAATTGGGTGCAAGCAAAAGGCAGTAGTGTTAATGCATTCAACCTTCCAATTTGCTCATTACTTAGCAGCTATGGTAGTAAAATTAAAAACTCTACTTTTACTTCTATCCATGCTGCATGTCGTCACACCTCTGCAAGTTGTGACAAGGCTGAGACTCAGCTGTGTACACCTCACAATGGCTTTTAGTGTAAGTCGAGCATTAACATGACCATCAAGTGGGAGCCACCGACGTTTATTGCACCCACCACAGCAATGGAGGTTATGGGGTTGAGCATATAGCCTTCTCTGTGATTAATGTGGGCTTTGCAAGATCACAAATTTGGCAAATTTCCGAGGAACACAGGGAAACATGTAATGCACACAAAATTTCCCCACTACAAAACAAAACTCAACCCATCTGGGAATGAGCAGAGAGAAGGAAAAGGGGAGGAGGAGGCAGGGGGAGGGGGAAAGGAACATAATTTTGACGCTGCGGCAATGACTTTGCGTATACTAGTTTCCTCTTCCTCTCCGTCTAATTTTCACCCTCTCTAGTCTGCATTTAATAAATATTGCATTGGACAAAACAAATCCTTTAGCGCTGCACCAAAACAACCTATGATGAAAACTTCCTGCATTTCCAGTGGATGACATAAAGCAAATGGTGTACTCTTGTTGAATGACCACTTACTGTCCCGAAAAAAAAACGTGAAAGTGGCGTGGTTAGGCACCGAATATAAAAGAAAGTGAGTAAACAGGACAATTGAGATATACACGAAACCAGTAAATGCAGGTTAAGGGATTAAATGAAGTTAAAATACTCAGACGGCAACACTATTGCGTATGAAATGAGAGGATGTTCGACTAACTGTGCTTCCTTAATCAAAGTTAGAGATAATGTAGAAAGAGGATATAAATAATTTTCCCTGGGGTCGAAGAAGAAAGTTAAAATGCGTTTGTTGAGGAGTAAACTAATGATATGGCCGTGGACTAACGTTACAACAATTCCGAACTATCAATAACGAGGCACCACCCTACTCAGAATGGAGTGCATTGCATAAGAATTTCAACAACAAAGTATTTAGCACGCAACATACGAGGAATCGGGAAAGCATCTCGATTTCCACCCAAAAGAACTCATATACAGGTATCATAAAAAACAGTCTATCAATCGCACTAAAATTGGCGAAAACGAGGGCGTTGTAGCGTGCAATGCTTTGCAAAATTCGCAAACAAAATATAAATCTGATAAAGAGCCTATGCGATGGAAGTGCCAAATGAACTATAATAATGAGTAAAATTAAAAAGAACGCAGTATGACTAGCGGATCTTCAGCACCGTAAACAGAACCAAGATGAAAAAAACTTGAGTATTACACACATTCATCAAACGTTTCTCATTGTTAATGCAAAGTTGCATAGGAATTAAAAGCATAAATCAAGACTGAAATCAAAACAATGATATAGTAGTCAGGAATAATTAATTGTCATTAAAAATTCGTTGCTAATGAATCGAGAAAGATTGTCTATTCACAAATGCCCAATTGGTGACTTACATGCCCTTCGCCCTCGATAACTAGACCGACTTTATCCTCAGTTAGATTTTCGGACGATTTCTTTTGCTCCTCTTCTTCACCCTCATCTTTGTACACCTTTAATTCGTCCGTACAGGCACTTTCGTCTCCTGTCGAATTCATATGTGACATAGCCTCCCTGTCACACTACGCGCATAGCATGCTCAAGGTGAACTAAGCTTCCATAACGATTACCTTGAAGTAAAGACATCTACGAGATTTCATTACAAAAAACAATATTTATTACACCTGAAAAATATATACATGATGGAGAAAAAGTTATATTTATTTAACTGCATAATAACTGGAGGCGCACTTTATAAATCCGCGAAAGATGGCGATGACCGGTGATGTGGCGTCAGATATAAGTAAAATCGAACTTGATATACATGGTATAAAACAGCAGATCGATCAGTTTGAGGAAATTCTCAAGAGTGCGGAGTCTGGCCACACATCGGTTTCCACTCTCAATGAGAAATACCACGAAATAATTCTCTCTACCAAGGATCTTTCTCAGCACCTGAAGGCTCTTCGGGGGTAGTCACTGCTTAATTGCTATCCTGACCATTCACCTTCTTACATACTGATGTGGTTTTTATTTGTATTGTATGTTTGTCACTACTACATAAACGTCGATTGTACAACTCAGTATTAAGCTATGGCCTGTTGTAAGAATATCTAATTAGCATCCCTGACTGGATTCCTTTATCATCTGTAATTCAGATACACATGAAACTGTTCCTTTTTTGTTCAGGTGCTTTTCGATTTTGTATTAGGGCGTCCTACGCTCCTGGTGTTAGTGATGAGGTGCGTGCCAGAGCGCGTAACCTACACGAGCAGGCCATAAATCAGACTACTCGGATCCAGCGTATCGGTCGAGAGACCCAACGAATTTCCGCCGCTCGATCTCGTGCTGCCGCCGCTGCTTCTCAGGGCCCCACTGGCGCCATTCTTGATCCTAAGGGTGGGTTATTGCACCATCTCACATCCTTAGACTCTTTGATTCGCTCTATTCTTCATACCTCTTTTGAGTGGTACTTGTACCAAATGTCAGATTACCGTGTTCGACTACTTCGTAGACCAAAAAGATTATCATGCTGTATCATTCTTGAGGTTAGCGTATTTGTACCCAAGCTTCAGCGGTCGTTAGAATTTTTCCTTTTTCTTGCCTTATACAATATTTTTGCAGTAGGAGTAAAGATGATATGACCAATTAACTGTCACATGAAATGCTAGCCAAACCTTGTTCAGCGAAAGTTGGTCACCTGATGTACGGTGGGTGCAAGCAAACACTTCTGTGTTGGCGTGTGTTGTGTTCATGAGTTGCGAACCCATCGAATTGGCTTAGCGAATAATTCTCTTCTCTCATCTGGTTGATTTTATCGCCCTTTAGTTGAAACAGACCGATAATGTCCCTGAAGATGATGTCGTTCATAGCTGCGAAAATGAATAGCGCCATTGTTGGATTGGTTCTCTATCGTGGGCCTATTTGCAGGTTACATTGTCAAGTAGATTTAAACCGGCTTAAAAGAGTGCTAGACACATTATTTCGTAACGAGTATTAAAACCTCGCATTTGCAGTTATTAAGCTCATGCTCTGGACTGTGCATGTCCTCAATGACTAGGGTATTCCACTTCTAAAAACACGATTTCTTGTATGAAAAATCGACATTGATTCTGACTTAGTGAATAATGTTGATTAGGAGAGTCCCGTGTCGCACGTCCTTTCTAGGTGGCGGTACAGGTGGAATGCAGCAGATGCTCCAGATGCAGGATGACGAGCAGACAGCACGGGAGATGGAAGCTCTGGAAGCGGATATCATAATGATTAATGAGCTTTTTACTACTCTTGCAACATACGTCCACGACCAAGGCGAAATTGTTGACTCGATTGAGGCCAACACCGAAGCCGCTTACGTTCAGGTACTGAGGAGAGGAGAGGAATCGTTGAATTTCTCCTATTTATTGGTTCCGTTAGGAACAATTCTACCACTTAGTAATATTTTAGGTGCAATCGGGTGTGCAACAGTTGCATACAGCAGTACAACACCGAAGATCGGCGCGTCGTCGAAAATGCATGTGCGCCCTCGTCCTTGTGGTTGCTGTGATCATAGTTGGCCTAATTGTCGGGTTGAGTTTGCGGGATAAAGGTTAAACGTTTTACCATTCTTGTCCCTGTTACTGACCTCTTTTCTTCATTGAACCACTTATCATCTGTGATTTACCCTGACCTGCTTTTGCGCTTTCCTCCAAATGTTTCCAGTTCGTATGCTTGCCTCATCTTTCCATTGTCTCAAATTCTGTTAGAAATTAGGAGGAAAAGCCTTAATGTACTTGGAAGATAAAGTCATATTTTTTACGAGCTATTGATAAATGTCTTCCCCACTTCCACACTGGGGTGCTCCGCTGGCGTATGCGTCATCTATTACAACCTTTTTTTCGTACTTATTAGTCAAATGCATCGGATAACAGCCGGGACGAGTTCAGTGCTGACATTGAGGAGAATGAGTTATGTCGGACTAGGGTCTATTCACTGCAAAATTCTGTCAAGGTGGTCGTCTCCGTTCTAACAATTAGTAAGTCTGTCTGCAGTCCTGACCTGAGCCTGTAGGTGTCGGTGTAGGTACTGCACTTCCCGCTGGTTGAAATGAAACGGAAGATGGTGCTAAGGGCCAAATTTTGATCAACTGCTGGGAGTGCCATAATCACCATCAGACTACCTAGTTGGTGGAACCTTCTTCCATTCAACTATTACGTTAGAACGGTCGAAAGTTGGCACGGTCTCAAGGACTCATCGATTGCAGATTTGAAGACACGAGCACAAGATCGCCTCACATTCAGCAAGTTCGTTAGTGTCACCGACACCAGCGTCCAAATTGCATTAGGTTTTCCGAGACATCCAGAGCACGAAAGGGCTGGAGGGCTCGCCATACAAACAGAGCCCAAAAGCCGCTGTCATGGTGGCTAGAAAAAGCCATTATGGCTTTCGGATTGTCAGATCTCCGCCACGACATTCATCCCCTTCGATACAGAGGCACATTTTCGTAAAAAGGCTAAGTTCATGTCAATGCTGTGTATAAACAATACACGAGTACATACATCTGAGGAAGGAGGGACTGTACAAAAATCAGAGGGAGGGGGAGAGGAATGGAGGTTGATGATCAACCATTATCACTTTTTATTCCGTATTCTCTTGGCCAGGCTTTTTGAAATGTGTGTTATCGCACTGGATTTGCTCACTTGTTTCCTATAACGCGTGGGTAAGCACCGTTATAAAATCACCTTTCTTACCCTTTGGCGTGACGCAGGGCCTTTCGGCGTCGGCGCTTGTTCCTGGCGTGCTTGCCCAAATGCCTCTCCAGTGTGGTCTTCTTGAAGCGCTCCTGTATGCGTCACCAAAGGATACAAAGTGATTAGTTTCTCTCCTCCTTGCTTAATTAAGAAATGGCATCAAGTAGCACTTGTACAGCGATAGGTAAGTTAACGTCTTGAGGATGCAACACTCTGTAAGAGGTGTGCCAGTTTCACATAAACATCGTGGCGTCCTGTGCTTAAGTAGTGGGCACAAAAATAACATTCCTGATTAATTGGTGAACCATTGTGCTATTCATGACGGCCTGAAGGAAGACTTAGGGTCAAAAGTTTGTCACTCATTTTACCGAGAAAAATGAGAAAAATGCAAAATCCACTCAGAAGACGGTTAATTTGAGAAATTGTTCGAGCGAAGCTAGCGGAGTGAAGAACGATAAAAATGAAATGTTGCAGTTTGAATTTTCTCTAATTCCAGAGCGACTCACTTTGGCGTTAAGGGGAGCTAGACGCCCATTTTAGCGTTTCACGACGTGAAGGAGAAAACAAAATTTAGGGTAACCAGAGCAATGGAAAATGTGGATGAAAGCCTCTTGACAAGCAGTGAACAAGGAAATTTAATCTACTCTGTAAATCCAAAGCATAAACAATCTTTCCTTACTTGGAAGTCATTTTTAAAAAGGAAACCCTTTAGCCTCTAAGCTTTGAAATGCGCCTTTTCGAGGCCTGTGAACAAAAAAGCACCCACATAAAGCCAGAACAACGAGAGAAAGTGCTCCTTTGAGTACGCACAAAAACGATCCCTTTGCATATGAGGTCGCAGAAGCGAAGCCAAAATCAGCCACTCACTAACCCAAGTACGACTGTTTTCCAAAACACGCATCATAATTTAAATAACCCAACTTAACCGCTTCCGGATTTAAAATTTGGACGGAAATAAAATACATTGCAACGCCACAAGTGAGAAAAGTGCTCCAGTGCTAGATAAAAGCCGTTGAAATAGTAAAAAGCAGAAGGCCTACGATTTCCAAACAATATTAAATCTTGCGGCGAGCAACTGACGTTTTTGTAGTCAGTAAGGGCATTCTGGCGCTCGCGTTTTCGAGTCTCCATCAGAAGGCGGTAGTTGACAGCAGTTCCTTTGGGAGGCTTGGCGCCCATCTTCAACAGCAGCTCGCCCCGCGCCTTGCGTCGCTCAGCCGTACTCAGATTGCTTGCGTTTGCCCGTTGTCGAAGTAGGTCAAAAGGAAGATCGCGAACGCTAACGTAGTAACTCTCCTCCTCGACTTCGTTATCCATATCCCCTCTCCTGCGGGGCATCTAGGCAGAAGAGAAGAACGTGAGAATGAGGCGAGAAGTGCTTGTATACGCAACGAAAAATGTAAGATTTCAAACGGAAAAAATTGAAATTCAATAAATGAATTAACAAACATTTAGTATGAAAATATCGAATGAATTGACAAATGAAAGAAAGGTGAATGACCCCCAAAAGCAGGTTCGATTATGCCGAAAATGTGGACCAAACTCAAGTTTTAGCGAAGCATCTGCCAACGTCCAACCATGTGATTTTCACTAGATTTCAATCAAAAAAATTCAAGGGAAGCAGATATATCAAGAGGTGCGGAAGAGGGCTGCAACACTCTAGACGAACTCCAAACTGACAAAGTAGATAATCATAATTAGTTAAATGAACGAAGAAATGGGTTCAGGCTGGCAACTGAGTCGATAAGTGATTAGGAGGCGGAATGTGGAACGGGTAAACAGACTTACAGTTGAAAAAACTGAATTGAACAAGTAGTTGAGTGCATCAGAACTGCATAGCGAGCATAAAACTGACCTAATATGTAATGAAGTGAGAGATAAACAAATGACAGGTTTTAGAAAGGGACCAAATGCATAAAAATTTGGTGGATCAATGAGCGCAAAAATGCCTACAAACAACGATATCGAAATAAGTAGACCAATAACTATGTCGAGGTGCTTATGGGCACACAAACAGGAACATACATAATTAAGGATAAATAATTCAGGGATCACCATAAGAGCAATACCAACCTGATGTTAATTCAAGATGGCATTGGTAGATCAACACGTAAAGAGGAATAAAAAATGCTACAACTGTTCCATAAAACTCCGAAAATCCTTTAGTAGGAGAAGAAGAAAACATACGGGAGATGACAGAGCAGCCTAATAGATTAGATCACATCAAGCTATGATACAAAGCTACGATAACGATGCAATAGGAAATGGGACAGAAATAGTACTACCAAGGCAAAGAAAATAACTGCAATAGATCACGCCTTAAACAACGACCAACTCACGTAGATTACAACGTGCAAACATCGCGACAAGCAAAATCACTTAGTCAAACGAGCGGGGTAAATTGGAAATCAAATGCATCTTATCCCCAAGAAAATGTTATCCATCATACTAAACATAGCTATTTTATTATATTAGGTACTGTACGTACCTCGTCCATATAGAGGAAAATCGATCAGTAAATCCAAATTCTGTGTTATAGAAGCATGTGGAACATTTCCTTGGCAAATAGTAGACGCTTTCTTTAGCTTTGCTATCTGCAACCCCTTAAATTGCATCAAAGCTAAAAATTTAATAAATTAAACCCCCTCTTACAGGGACTGAAGTGCACAATCGTAAGAGGAGGATCAGAGTCGCTACAATTATTGCCTTTTAAGGCGTTGGATTGTCAAATTAGTAATGATTTTTTAGTCGTTATGAAATTCAATAGCAGAAGTCATGGGTGCACTTACATGTTTGGCTTCCAGTGCGATGGATCTGAAGGTATATAAACAATTGCATCGATAAAGTTTTCGCTTGTAAGAGTTGTCTTTTAGAAAATAATTTTGTGCAAACAATGTTTGTTTTTATATATCGGTTATGATTACTGTATGACAGAGTTCATATTGAATCATTATGCGATGTGATATTGTGGACTTATGTGCCATATTCCTTTGGCTTTTATCTTGTAATAAATATGCTGAGCCACTAGGTTTGCGTTATCCGATTCCTCAACTCCTTCTAGAGATAAATAGTATATCCGCCGTTCGTTTTGCTCGCGGCAGTGGACTTTTTCCCAGTGGCCGGGATGGCGTTATTGAAGTAAAATTTCGTGGTTCATGGTCATCAATTTGTAACTTTGGTTTTGACTACGAAGCTGCATCTACGGCTTGTTTCATGATGGGATTGTAATTGGCCTTTAACTTATTTAGCGTTCTAGTCCCCCGTACGGCGTCCCTATTTTGAATAGTCATAAAGCCAGTTTATTTCCGACAAGGCTTTCGAATTTCAACTGTAGTGGTAGAGTGACTCTTGGACCCAATCCACCCGAGTCCACGTCTGTTCATCTTGGTTATTGTGCGCACACTACTACGCTCCCTTCTCCCTGTCGTAATCACAGACGTGATGTCGCAATAGCTTGTTTGGAACCAATGAGGTTAGACACCTTCAGCACGCTCCCACCGGCAACTTTCGCTCCCGTAACCTGTGAGTTTTCACTTCTGGTGTCACTAAAGTAAAACGATATTTGTCTGCATTCTTTCCTCCAACGATGTTGCGTATAGAGGTATATAACTTGTCGATAACAATGATAGTACTTTGGTGGGAATGGCACAGAGCTACAACACCATCCGTTCATAAATGTCCTTGGCTGTGCTCCCACTTGCTCTTAGTTTCGGTTGCAGCGACATTTTATCGGCTCTGTTACCACTTTCTAAAGTTTCGGATGTAGAGTAATTGAAAAGTATACTGAGTTGGAATCTGGACGATATTTTCTCCCACATTTCCTTTGCCAAATGATATTGGTTCAATCTAAAACATTTTCTTTCACCAATCTCTTTTGGTGCATCACGCATCCCCGTCCTATAATGATTCCTACGAGTTGTTTGTTCACTAAGGGCCACTTTGTTTGAGGTATTTGCGTTGCAGCTCTGTCATCGAATTCTAGTTCACTCGTTAAAAAGAAGGTGCATTCAAAGTCACCACATCATTTTCATGCACTAAGGTCCCTATAATTCAAGTGAGGTTCGCCTAACTCATGGAGGGAGGAAGTCGGGCCGATTGGAAGTGAAGCATCCGGAATCAGGTGTTTGGGGCACCGTCTGTGCCGATGGATTCGGAACAAATGAGGCCAAGGCAGTGTGCCGAATGCTCTGTTCAAGCAGGTAATTCCAAAACCCAATATCTGTCGTTACAATGCTGCTCCTGTACAATAAGACTTATAGCCACTCCAGATGACTCGAATGTGATGTTTGGGTGACTAATCTTGGTACTACAACACAACCATTGAAGATGTGGAAGGATCTGCATACAGGATTGAGTTGCGTCTGACATTGGCGACCGGGCTTCAATTATAATCTTAAAGTTTATCGCGAATAGCGAATCAGATTCTCGTCATAGAGCGAAGAAACTCATGCCTAATGGTAATGGATTAAAGAGCTGTTTACACAAAATTTTTTACTCTAATCTGTTGCCTTTGATATCTATTAGTAGCGAACTTTCTCCCTAGCTTTATCGTTCTCCTTCCTCTCATTTGTCTAGTGTTTGACTGCTGAATCCATTGGTTCTTCAATTTGCTAATCTGTTTCAATTTCTGCTCCCTTTTACGCGCTTTTGGTCCTTCTACCTCTTCGCTGATGTGTCCGCCTAATTACCCGCTCATCTCAGACTTGCATGATAAAACCCATGGTCATATAAATTCATGTCTTCTTCAATGTATCCTTACGTTTTCAGTGGGTTCTTTAACCAACTTCAGAATTCTGTTTTTTTAATTCTTCACCGACCTGTGTGATGGGCTCAGCTTTCATAATCTGGCCATTCAGCTGATTCTCTATTCCTGTGTTTAAAATAGCCTCATCTAATGAAACTAAGCTTACCTCCATGACTAATGTGCTTGCCATGTTTGTACTTACCTCCCATCTACCTAATTTTTCGTTACAGTGACGACCTTGCCTACGCTCACGCCGTTATCAATGCCTTTGGGGAAAAGGGGATGACGAAGTTGAATGGAGGGCATAGCAAGAAAGAGAAGGAAATGCCGATTCACTTGGCACGAGTTGCCTGTCCTGTGAATGCACAATCTCTTAACGACTGCAGTCTCGGTGACGGTTGGGGATCGACACAAGGATGTACTCACGCTCTTGACGTTGGAGTTATTTGTGGGCCCGAGGAGCCTCTAACACCGCCTAGAATGCGTACGTTGGAGAAAATTAATTGTTAATTTCCTTCAATTTTGTGATCCTTATCTGACAAGCATGCACTCCAGGGTCACTAACCGCGCTTCACTCTCGACCCAAATAGGTTCACGTGAAACCCGATTCAAATGCTGTCATTTATGCTTACGTCAGTTTACCCATTTCGGGTTTTCAATCCCTACATTAATTTACTTCATGCCTCTCAGATCTGTGCATCAGTCCACCTATCCACCCACGTTGTGTTCATCCATTCATCTATCAGTAAGGGAGGATTTGTATACTTGACATAAATTCTTCGGTCTTGCGTAAGAAAGAGGATTCTCACATAGTAAGATGAAGCACTAGTACTAAAGCCTTGGCTCTTTGTTTCTACATCTATTGGCAGATTTTTGTGCTTCCTAATATCTGCCTGTTCGAATAGTCATCCACATAACAGCCATTTTGCCCTTCACCTGAGGTGCACTTCTCACCTTTTCCAGAAGGTGAAAAATGGGGACGTTGAGGCTGCATTTTAGCATCCACGGGTTGAGGCAACTGAATCTGGTCTGATTTTATCATGAGTTGGAGACAATTTAGGCCCGTCAACCCAATAGGCGATGTTTTTTTGGCTTCTGTAAGTTGGTTTATTTCCCTCACCGGCGCTCCCACTCTAATTTTCTCATCCCAATTACTTCGTCAAGTGCACACTTTCACTGTTTACTTTGAAGTGCTGGATAGTTCCAACGCGTCTCCCCTCAAGCGAATGTGAAGGACTTGAAGTAAGGTGACGATGGTTTAGTAGTACTGGAATCATTTCTAGGGTTTTGATAGCTAATGTGATGGTAAATTTTAGGTTTCATGCTTCCATGGCAACGTCGTTCTGAGAAGAAAAATCTCGAAGAGCATAAACTACGGGTCAGCTTTTTTTTTGTCAAAATTGGTGAATCTGAAGTAGGCATCAAGGCATCCAGATGGGATATAGGAGGGAGAGAGGATTGTTTTAGTGGACACACGATTGTTGGCCAATCGAAAAGAGATTATCCTACCGACTGAGTAATTCCCATGGACGGGCAGTTGATTGGGCAGATACTCAAGTGGCCCATGAATTCGCATGAAGGGGGCATCACCGCCTGGATGGCATCAAAATTTAACACAATGCAACATTTATTTTGACAGCAGACTGTTTCTTCAGAGGTGTGCTTGACAAAACTGGTACATTCACCACGTTCGTTTCTCAGCTTATTTTGACTTATTGTAGGGTGAGAGAAAGGCAAAAAAAGCAAAGTGCTGCGGCACCATCAAGGTCTCACCTCTTTTTGACTCTCCGTTGGCATCGTCACAATTTCGCATTCTTTGTCAACTTTTTTTAGGTCCCATGATAGTTGTGCCAGTGTGGATAAACTTCGAGATGCATTTGTTTACCTTAACGACTAGACTGGCGGTGTATGCGGACACTTTTTTTGCATCATCAAGGTGCTTGTAACTGTCACTTTATCAAATGACGCACAGATCGCGGTGGCAGCGTGATGGGAGGCCTTTGTTCCGTAGCTGACGTTAATAAGCCGGTAGAAGGTACACACGATAGGAGTGGGAGTATCACAGTAGAATTGAGGCAATCACGAGGCACTTTTCTTCCATTTTTGTATGCTGGCAAGAGACTCCTCCCTTCAACAAAGAACATTCCTCCTGGTAGTAGAGAATTGTCCATGTTTGGCCACGTTTTGGCCTCTTGAAGAGAAGAAAATACAATCCTCTGTTCAACGTTGTGTTGTGTTTTGCCACATTTTCGCACCTATTCAATTCTTCGATTGATATCTGAAGGGGACGATCAGTAGTGTGGGACATTCTGCTTTGTTTTGTGTACTTGTTGAGCGTTGATTTATCCATACACTCCGGATTTGTGCATCTCTCAGGCCTTTGTGCCACCTCCTTGTTAATGCTTTCAAGGTTTTCTCAATTCATCTGTCACAGTAGCCCTTCAATGCTATGGAAAGAGGAATTACTTTCGCATCCACAGACCCCACCACTGTCAGTCAAGGGCGTGATTGTGGAACAACCAATCTTTATGGCTTAACCTTTTTCCCCACTATCAGTTTTCCTGATAAATACACACACTTTAGTCAACCTCGGTAAGAACTTCCATTGAGTGCTTTGCATTCTACCATGTAACCTCCTTCAACGTGATTACTTTTTGCCTCAGCTGTAGAATCCAATTTGACTTGCGAAGGTGGGACAGCACGTGTCCGATTTAAGCGAGAACAGTTGGGCGAGGTGAGTCCAATGACAGTGCATTTGAATGGAAGTCCTCCTGAGGGTTGTTACTTCAACTTCACCACTATTCCCGACCTCGAAGGCATTGTTGAAGTCAGCTTTCCCATGGACAAATGCGGTGGCACGTATGAACGAGTACGTTCTTTGACTTATCCGCAAACCACTCTTTCAAATTTTCAAATCCCGGGAATATAGTTCTCTGATTTCCAGCAGGTAATTGATACATTCATCAGCTTGGGGTAGGGGTCAATCAGCCAATTCCTCGTACACTTCCTTGCCTATTTATCTACATATTTCTCAATGGCGTCTTGACAATCGACCTCCTCCCCTTTGAATCCGTAATGACTCCCTCCCAATCACACCACTCTGCAAGACATTGAAGTGAAAGCACTCTTACTTCCATGGTCTTGGGTAGTCACCGTGGCTTGTGCAGTCTTCGGGGAGCTTGCTTAAAACGCCATTCTCTTAGCTACCTGCGATGTTTCAGCAAGCCTAGGGAGTTTGTCTTGCAAATGTGCATAAGGTCCACCTATCATGCCTTGTTTGACTAGGTCAATTATTCCTTACTCCTCTGTCTTCGATAGAGTACCTCGACAACCCTTGCGGTGCATCTCTCCCTCCTGGTAAACGCATCTCGTGAACCGTCACTGTCGAGTTTGAAGAAGGAAGGTGAGGTTGAGGTATTCGTGTTGCCTATTACCTGTCTCGTCAATCGCAGCGATTCTGTTCGCTCTGCTGTCCGCGCTGTTGCTATTAGCCAGCTACGTCCTCTGGTTGCTACTCGTCCTACTCCGCCTACTAGACTCGCATTCTTTGCTGACAAGCAGTAAGCCACTGAAGAGCAAAAGGCCACCGAGATAGTGACCGGAATCTCATTCAAAGAACCACGATCCTACCATAATGAGTGACTAAATTACAACATTTTCCTATTCCAGCTTTCAGAGACGCGTCAGTGACAACATAAACATTCTTCCTCACCGACGAGTATTCGCCCAAATTTCACTGACACAACCAGAGCAAAACAGCAAGTTGATTTTACGCAATTGTTGGTTGTCTAGCAGCGAGACCATCAGTAATACCAGCATTCCAATCATCGCTAATGGATGCCTCGTGAATTCGGACATTCATTGGCATCCGATTTCTCGAAATGCTGTCGGTTTCTCCTTTGAAACGGCCTACTTTAGGAGGGCATCACAACGAGTCAATGGTGGTAGCATCCTTCAACTCTTCGTAGTCTGCCAGACACGCCTGTGCCAAATCAACGAAACCGATCCCGAGTGCATGCAGAACAAGTGCGCCTGAACAAGATACAAATGCAGTCGTTTGTAACGATACTGATCCGGTGTAACTTGAGTAAGTAACGGAGACACATTTGTTTCATTAACAGAAGCAGCGATGCACAAGTGTGAATTTACCCACTGAGTATTAAAATGCTATACGTTCTCATAAGTGGTGGGCATGTGGTCCTTGAGAGCCGATTCAATGGCGCCTTCTAAGGACTTCTCTGCCTCATCGAAGTCTTTCTTTTTGCGTCTCATGTCAATAACATCAAGCCAGTGGCGTAGACCTTCCTTTAACCCTGAGATGCAAAAAAATTACGATTCGTTTAGTTGATATAAGAGGCATTGTTTGAGGGAAGATAAAGACGAGCACCTGTAAGA